TGATCATCCCTATCACACAGTATGTTTTTCACCTGCTTTCTTTTGCTTATGGTTATTTTTGCTTATATGACTTGATTATCATTTTTTTACAACAACATTTGCTTTAGTATGAGATTAACTCTCTATTTATGTGTAGTTAACTGATCTGAGAGACCTTTAGCGAGGACAGATTACTGTGCATATTTTTGAAACATGACAATAATTATTTTTATTTAGTTAATTGTTTTTCTTTGGTTTTTTAAGAGAAATGTTTTGTTAAATAATAAGTATACAGCTATATTTATATTGTTTTGACACATTTAAAATTTGTGGCTAAGAAATAATTTTTGTTTGGTGTGGTCAGAGATAAATTAGGTAAATCCTTCGTTTTGAGTTCTAAAAAAGTGAGGTGAAATAAAAACTAATTGCAGTATAACACTGTGAAACCATGACCCATTCACTCATGCACGACACACAAAATGTGAAATAAATGAGGAGGCATTTGGACATAACACAAAATCTAAATCAAGTAATTTTAGCATGTCAAAGTCATTTATGCGTATAAAAATATTTTCCCAACAACAAAATTGTGGCTAGTCAAAATGCAGAGTGGCTAGTAACATTGGAAAACTACTAGCCACAGTGGCTGGTGATCAAAAAAGTTAATGTAAAGCCCTGATTAGGAGCTATACAGCACTTGATAATAGGGTATATCCACACAGACTTTTAATGTACAGTCAGCCAGCCCAATCGCTTGTCTTGCCATTACAAAATTACAATGCTTAAGATCTAATTTCTTTAAAAGTAAGTGATCTTCACTGCCTGATTAATATTTAGACAGGAAGCACTGCATTAAACTTCTTTAAAAGTTGTTCCGCGCCTTGTCTTTCAAATATGAAAATGGATTCTACCGCAGTATTTTTAAATGGAGTTTCTGCCCTCGCCTGATGCTATACTGACAGCGCTAGCATTGACATGGTCTTTCATCTCATTTTATGCTAGAACAACTAAATGAATGCTTAAGTCTGTTTAACTGATGGTATTTTAATTACATTACAACATCGATGCCATAATAGAAACCTTATGAAATAAAAAATAGTCACATTAATCGTTCACCAGAGGTTTATCGGTGGCTGTGCACATAGACCATTGGGTCTGATATGGGTTGCATATGGGCTGAACTCTGCAGGGAGGTAGATCTCCATGAACAGAGTTGGTCACCGCTGGACTACACACTACACAATCCTCTGTTCTGAGGTCAGCCGTACTTGTGTAAGATCCAGAAGAGTGCGTAGATGGCCAGCAGGCCGAACAGAAAGAGCAGCGAGACGTAGGCCTGCATGAGCTGCCGCAGGACAGAGGACAGCGGGTGACTGCACTGGAACTCACTGTAGCCGATCAGAGCGTCCGAGTGCGGCCGGCAGACGTGACTGAAGGAGATGCAGCTCAGCAGAGGAGTGGTGTAGCTCACGATCAGCACAAACTTCAGCACTTTGAACACCGTCTGCGCCGTGTACACCTACCGGAAGAGATGACAGGATTTGGGTGAACTGGACTCATTCTGTGCCATTTTTAATAGTCCTTTATGACTAGTTCAAACTGCGTGATTTTAGCCCCGATTTTGGCTCGCCGACAGGTTTTGAGAAATCGCCGACAAATGCCTGAAATCACAGGCAAATCGCTGCTCGTGCACGTGAGTGACAATCACACAGTATGAACTATCAAAGACGCGATCTGAGAGAATCGCAGATGAGTCGTCGATGCCTGCGAGATATTTGGCGTGCTGAATATCTGGAGCTGTCGGCGATTCAAATCATGCCGTGTGAATTGATTTTTGACTGAAAATAACATCAGCGATCGCCTACAGCCAATGAGAGAGCGGCATTCACTTGCGAGTGTGTGTGTGTGTGTGTGTGTATACCTGCTGCAAGCCAGCGGGAGGCTGGGGGAGAAGTTAAAAGCACTCCTTTTAGGTTTATTTGGACCCACGAAATGGAGGAAAAACTAGTGGAGGTTTGACAGGACTCAGGAGCAACCGTGTCTGTTTAACGTTTCATACAGAAAGAAATTAGTTTATTATTAATGTTGAGGAGAAATGGTTAATTCCCTTTAAACCCAGGTGAGCAAATATGAACATGTTCTACCCCATTAAAGGCTTCTTTCTCGTTATGTAGTTAATAACAAAAGATATACGACATGTTTTTGGCTGTGAGACGTAGTTTGGACGAAGTTGTCAGTGATTCTTCCTATAGTAAAGTCATGCAATGTGAAAGTCCCTGTCGCCGATCCATCTTGCAGTGTAAACAAAGCAGCGACGAAACGCTAGCCCAGATAGTCATGCAGTGTGAAAACATCTGTGACACGACTACTTTGAAAACTTCTGAACTCGGCATTACCCCGGCTTACACAATTTTTGACAACGAGAAAAAATCAGTCACTTGAGAAAAACTGTTTTTGACACCCTAAAAATGTTAAATTACCAATTCTTAGTTGTGGAAATGTTAGGATTTAGTTTCCAGAACGTTCTTGCAGTGTTTTGATATTTAATTAATTTGTTTTGGAAAGTTCTCCTAACAGAAATCGAAAGTTATTCTAACAATAAGGGACTGTAATGGGAACACTTTTTCCCAATGCTATATTAAAGGTCCTGTAAAATTAAAATAAAGGTAATATACAGGTTAATGTATCTATAAACTAGTGTGCTCTAAATTCCTTTTTTCTAATTCCAAACAAACACAGCAAAACAAGAGATAAATCCTTGATGAGGAGCCACTCCACCTTTAAAGTCAGCAAAAAAAAAGTTAAGATGGTCTCTTTGTCCCACATTGTGACGTACATCCAATTGAAATGGTCCAGAACTGAGAAATAAAAGGGGAGGACAGTGCATGATTTAGTTTTTTGGTAACTGATTAGCGGTTGTTGCTAGAACGGATACGTTTGCGGCCGGAAGTTAACCAGAAATATTTCTATTATTTATTAAATTTCATATTTGTTGTATTTTAATAACGTCTACCCCCACCCCAACCCTAAACCCAACCGTCACAGTAATGTAAAAACAGTTGTTGTACCGAATATTAGTTATCTTATCTATTAAATTACCCAATAAAATGTATTTTTTAACGCCTACCCCCAACCCTAAACCCAACCATCACAATACTGTAAAAATATTAATTATTGTTATACAGTGTCATAAAAAAATGCTGCTTTATTAATGTGCATATCACACTTCCGGCCGGCCGCATATCCGATCTAGACTTTACCCTGATTAGCTGAGTGGGAGATTGGGGCAAATGGACGAAAGCAGGCCAGAAATGAGACATACACTGATAGCTCCACCCTAAATGACTAATACTGCTGCCCTAACTGACTAAAAGCCTCATCATAAATGACTGATAACTCCACCCACAGGACTGATAGCCCCAACCTAAAAAAGTGATGGCTCAGCTCTAAATGATTGATAGCCACACCCTAAATGACTGACAGCCCCGACCTAAACAACTGATTACCCTGCCCTAAAGGACTTATAGCCCCACCCTAAATGACTGATAGATCCACCCTAAAGGACTGATAGATCCACCCTAAAGGACTGATAGTCCTGCCCTGAAGGACTGACAGCCCTGACCTATACGACTGATAGCCCCCGCCCTAAATGACTGACAGCCGCAATTTAAACAATTGATAGCCCCGCCCTAAAGCAATGACAGCCCTGACGTAAACAGCTGATAGCCCTGCCCTAAAGGACTGATAAACACGCCCTAAACGACTGATTGCCCCACCCTTAAGGACTAGCAGCCCCTAACTAAACAACTGATAGCCCCGCCCTAAAGGATTGAAAGTTACAACCTAATTGACTGATAGCTCCACCCTAAAGGACTGACAGCCTCGCCCTAAAGAATTGACAGCCCCAACTTAAACATCTCATAGCCCCAGCCTAAAGATGAATAGATCCGCCTTAAGGATTGATAGCCACACCCTAAAGGACTGACAGTCTCGACCTAAACGACTGATAGGCCCACCCTAAAGAACTGATAAATCCGCCCTAAAGGACTGATAGCCCTGCCCTAAAAGACTAACAGCCCTGACCAATATGACTGATAGCCACACCCTAAAGGACTGATAGCCCCACCCTAAATGACTGATAGCCCCACCCTAAAGGAATAATAGCCATGCTTTAAAGGTCTGATAGCATCACCCTAAAGGACTCACAGTCCTGCCCTAAAAGTCTGACAGCCCCAACCTAAACAACTGATAGCCCCACCCTAAAGAACTGATAGATCTGCCTTAAAGGACTAATCGTCCTGCCCTAAAGAACGTACAGCCCTGACCTATAATACTGATAGCCCCTGCCCTAAAGCACTGATAGCCACACCCTAAAAGACTGATATCTCCCCCCCCCCCTTCACCCCAAGAAAAACGTATACATCCATTATAACAAGCACTACTATATACATACAAATTTTTTTTTTATTTGATGCCAACTTTAAAAAATATACTTCCACAATTAGCTGCAACTGCACATTTCAAACAGAGATGGCGACAAAGAGGTAAAACATACACACTACAAACTCTTTAATGAGAATATTTATTCAAAATTGAGAGTAATAAAATTTATTAAATTAATTTAATTTGTTACCTTATAGATGACATCTGAACTCTCGCAGTGAGCTCGAAACCTGCGCACTCTCTCGAACAGCGCTCTGGCCTGCTCTCTGTCACTGCGGTCCAGCGTGGCGCCTGGTCTGGAGCGATCCGGACTGACTTGCACCGCATGGACAGGCTCTGTGAGTGAGCGAGTGGAGAACGCTGAGCAATGGGACACTGTGGAGGGACATGGAGACGGCTGTGTGGTTGTGGATGCAGTGTCAATTCCTGCCAGCAGAGGGCTGTCCGTTCCCGAGTCCAAACTCGACTTGCGCATTTTGTACGATGAAGCTACCTAGACATATTCAACAATTCAATATATTGAAATAATGAACATGCACAATATTAGTATAGTGAACACGTCAAAATACAGTGAAGTATTATTTATTCTTTAAAGTTTGCCAGGAAGTGCAAAACAATATTAAAAATTGTGAAACACTTTTACAAAGCTCGCGACAAATTTATATTTTGGAAAACATTTTTACCTGTCATGAGACACAATTACACAGGAAATACTATTTTACCAAGGAGAATAAAAATTTACATTTTAGAAAACGCAAAACACTTTTAAGTCCCGAAACAAATTTACAATTACAGATTCCTTACGGAAAGGGAATGTATATATATATATATATATATATATATATATATATATATATATATATATATATAAATACACACAAAATAAAGCAATACGTATTTTAAGGATATTATACCTGTTAAAGTAATCTTTTTTGCAGCTTACATCAACTTTGACCAACACATTTCACAACATTATACTGGAAATATGTTCCCGAGGCTACATTTTTACAAAACCTCAAAAATTTATTTAATTAATTAATTAATTTATTATCTATGACTAGTTTCTATATACCCAGGCTCTATATACATTTCTGATGATTGTTAAATACGTCCAAGCAGCTACGTTTTTGTTTGCAGTTTTCGCGAATCCACCAGAGGGCGCTGTGTACACCATTTGAGATCTCAAATTTCTCTCGCGAGTGCCATTCGCGCCTGCTGTTCTCACGTAAATCCACCAGAGGCTGCTGTCGGCTGACTGTTTGACTGACTGACTGACCGATCGACTGAGCCACCCTCCTTCTTCTCTAAAACCAACCAATAGTATTTTCGAAAGCACAGATTGACCCGCCCACCCACTTCCCTAAACCCAACCGAAAATTTGAAAAAGCAATCCAGAAAAAGAAAAGCCATCGCCTGATTTTTAACACGTTTTCAGATTTGACCACATTCTCACCATGTTATTAACTTGTCTATTTTATTTTTTGGATTTTGTTTTTGTCCTACTTTCTGGAACCGTTCTTTGCCGGACTTGAACCCTATTGTCACCTCCTCTCTGCGTCTCAAGTCCACCAACGTACATGGTGAGCTAACTGGACAAACTGGTAAGTGCGAAAAGGAACGGCATCAGACCACCACATACCGTTTATTTTAAAAACAAAATGCAGCCATATCTACGTACTTCTGGCTACATAATTTGCGATCTCCAGAAACGGATATAGGGCTAAATTTTCAGAATGAGCCTTACTTGATAGTGATAGAAATCAGGTAAAAAAGCAATGTGAATGTGGTAAAACTACACAGCGGCTATGCACTTTTCTCTTCTTGTTTGCATTTGAAAACACTATTGGTTGGGTTTAAGGAGGGATGCAAGTCAGTCTATTTATGTGATAGGATGTGTCAATTGCATGTATGAGAAATCGTACCCTGCTGAAAAATCCAGCCTAAACCAGCCTAGGCTGGTTGGCTGGTTTTAGCTGGTCGACCAGGCTGGTTTTAGAGGGGTTTTGGCCACTTCCAGGCTGGTTTCCAGCCATTTCCAGCCTGGTCTTAGGTGGTCAGGCTGGGAGATGACCAGCTAAAACCAGCTTGACCAGCCTAGCCAAGCTGGGAGTCCAGCCAAAACCAGCTATATCCAGCTTAAACCAGGCTGGTCAAGCTGGTTTTAGCTGGATTAAGCTGGTCATTTTTCAGCCTGACCAGCTAAGACCAGGCTGTAAATGGCTGAAAACCAGCCTGGAAATGGCCAACACCCCTCTAAAACCAGGCTGGTCAACCAACTAAAACCAGCCAACCAGCCTAGGCTGGTTTAAGCTGGATTTTTCAGCAGGGGTAGCCCAGTAACGCATTTGAGATTTACAAAAATGTACACAGCGTCCTCTAGTGGATTTGTCAACACAAGCTGCAACAAATCGATAAAGGCATGAGCCTACCTGAGCTTTAGGTTGCACCACTGGCTCCGCCTCGGAGAAGCGAGTGTCCAGTTTGGCGGTATGCGACAGCGCCCTGGTCGTCCATGGCGATTCACAACATTTGGCAAGAAGTGACAGGAAGTGCTCGATACGAGCGGAAGTGAGCGGGAAGTGGAACCAGAAGCAGCCGCTGGCCAGCAGAACCAGTGTATGGAGCAGCGTGACGTACGGTAGGAAGCGCGAGTACCAGGGCAGCGCTTCATGATAGCAAACCTGGCTAATGTAGCTGTACTGCTGGAAGTCCAGGTTGGTACGTCGCCCCCTTGCGGATGTGCTTGTAAAGGCAGTTTCAGGGATGGGATCAATGGTGGAGGTGTGGTTAGTGGGGAACGAGTGCACAGGAACACACACTACTCCGTCCCGGGACAGCAGGAGAGTCCCGGCGAGGATGGACACCATTAGCATTAGCACTAGCAGGTAGTCCATGAAGACCTCCCACCATGGTTTTAGGAGCTTATAGCTGCCCTGACGCTCGCCACCCGACCACAGCTCAGACAGAGCAAACATCTTCTGTCAGAGAGAGAGACACAACATCACTATTCAACCAGTTGAGCACTTTAACACACACAGCAAGTTATGCAACAAGATAATCTCACTTGTTATAGCATGAATGTGCACTGAAACACACTATCAATATGCTGTGGTTTTGTTGGTGGTGCTAGGTTGTTACTTTGGTGTTCTGTCCTGTGCTAGTACGTGGCTATGGGGTTGCTAGGGTGTTACAATGTTGCTAGGTTGTGGTTTTGAAGTTCTGTTTGGTTGGTAGTTCATTGGTGTTAGTGGTGGTAGCATGCATGTGCACAGATAAGTGCCCTTCAAAAATGAATTAAAGTGCCCCCTGGTGTTCAGATAGCGACCGTCACCCAACCACCTACTCCCCCAAACCCCCACCTACCCTCCAGCCCACTCTTCAGTTAGCGACTGTCAACTAGCCAACCCCACTCCAAACACAACCCCCCACCTCTTCCATTGCTCTGTGGTTATTAAGGTGCTCGTGTGTTTCTAGGTTGCTGATTTCACATTCTGTATGACTGTGAGTGCATATGTGGTTGCTAGGTTGTTAGTGTGTTTCTAGGTTGTTAGTTGAATCTTCTGTATGATTGTGAGTGCAGTGCTATGTGGTTGCCATGGTGTTAGTGTGTTGCTTAGGGTGTAGATTTAACATTCTGTATGGTTATGAGTGCATTGCTATGTGGTTGCTAGGTTGTAAGTGTGTTGCTAGGGTGTTGATTTAACATTCTGTATGGTTATGAGTGCAGTGCTATGTGGTTGCTAGGTTGTCAGTGTGTTGCTAGGGTGTTGATTTGACATTGCTTATGGTTGTGAATACATTGCTTTGTGGTTGCTAGGGTGTTAGTGTGTTGCTAGGTTGCTGATTTAATGTTCTATATGGCTGAACTGCTATGTTGTTGCTAAGGTGCAAGTGTGTTGCTATGTTGCTGATTTGACATTCTGTATAGTTATGTGTGCATTGTTATGTGGTTACTAAGGTCCAAGTGTGTTGCTGGGTTGCTGATTTAGCATTTTCATTCTTGTAAGTGCATTGCTAAGTGGTTGCTAAGGTGCAAGCGTGTTGCTAGGTTGCTGATTTGACATTCTGTATGGCTGTGAGTGCATTATTATGTGGTTGCTAAGGTGCAAGTGTGTTGCTAGGTTGCTGATTTGACATTATCTATGACTGTGAGTGCATATGTGGTTGTTAGGTTGTTAGTGTGTTGCTAGGTTGTTAGATTAATGTTCTCTGTGGTTGTAAGTGCATTGCTATGTGGTTGCTATGTTGTTAGTGTGTTGCTAGGGTGTTGATTTGGCATTCTGTATGGTTGTGAGTGCGTTGCTATGTGGTTGCTAGGTTGTTAATGTGTTGCTAGGGTGTTGATTTGGCATTCTGTATGGTTGTGAGTGCATTGCTATGTGGTTGCTATGGTGTTAATGTGTTGCTTAAGGTGTAGATTTGACATTACTTATGGTTGTGAATACATTGCTTTGTGGTTGCTAGGGTGTTAGTGTGTTGCTAGGTTGCTGATTTGATGTTGTGTATAGTTGTGGGTGAATTGCTATGTTGTTGATAGGGTCCAAGTGTGTTGCTAGGTTGCTGATTTGACATTCTGTATAGTTATGTGGGCATTGCTATGTGGTTGCTAAGGTCCAAGTGTGTTGCTAGGTTGCTGATTTAGCATTTTTTATAATTGCGAGCGCATTGGTATGTGGTTGCTAAGGTGCAGGTGTGTTGCTAGGTTGCTGGTTTGACATTTTCAATGACTGTGAGTGCATATGTGGTTGTTAGTTTGTTAGTGTGTTTCTAGGTTGTTAGATTAATGTTATGAGTGCATTATGGTTGTGAGTGCATTGCTATGTGGTTGCTAGGATGTCAGTGTGTTGCTAGGGTGTTGATTTGGCATTCTGTATAGTTATGTGGGCATTGCTATGTGGTTGCTAAGGTCCAAGTGTGTTGCTAGGTTGCTGATTTGACATTTTTTATGATTGCGAGCGCATTGGTATGTGGTTGCTAAGGTGCAAGTGTGTTGCTAGGTTGCTGATTTGACATTCTCAATGACTGTGAGTGCATATGTGGTTGTTAGGTTGTTAGTGTGTTTCTAGGTTATTATATTAATGTTCTGTATGGTTGTGAGTGCATTGCCATGTGGTTGCTAGGTTTTCAGTGTTTTGCTAGGGTGTTGATTTGGCATTCTGTATGGTTGTGAGTGCATTGCCATGTGGTTGCTAGGTTGTCAGTGTGTAGCTAGGGTGTTGATTTGGCATTCTGTATGGTTGTGAGTGCATTGCTAAGTGGTTGCTAGGTTGTCAGTGTGTTGCTAGGGTGTTGATTTGGCATTCTGTATGGTTGTGAGCGGTTTGCTATATGGTGTTAAGGTATTAGTGTGTTCTCATACAGTTGCTTCAATGTGCTTAGTAGATATTTACTTGCTTACTGATAGTATTCCGGCATCCAGACATGAATCGGTGCTCAGTAAGTTACTTCAAAAAAGTAACTAACTACTAATTACACAATTAAAATTGCATTTAAATAAATGTTCTAATGACTTTATCTGAAAAGCACCTCATATGATCAGTAAGTGACTTAATTACTTTACTAAATGCTAAAAATCCACATAAATCCCAATGCACAGACAATAGAAATTAAATCTGAGTTAAACAAAAATTAATACAATTAAAACCCTCCATGTATATAAAAAAAAACGGTTTCAAATTAACCACTTTTTTAACTAATTACACCCAACATTAATATAAATCCATGCCTTTTATGTCTGTATGTCAGTAAAATAGCACCTCTAAACTCTCAAGCAACATTAGACTTAATTTGAGGGACAAATCCCCCTTTTATAGCCATAGTACTAGTGACTTCACAAACATATGTAAAAGAACACCAAGCTATAAGAAGTGTCAGTGTATCCACTATAGTCTAATTAAATGTCACTTAACACAAACTGAACTATTTTACATCCTCACACTATTAAACCTTTCAAATGCATTTAGGTGTACAGTCAGCAGAACTCATAAGCAACATATAACTAGTAACACAAATCCTGCACGCAAAAATAAAAAGATAATGTACTCACAGTGCTGAACTGAAAATGCCAAGGTTTTCAACTGCATTCATGCTTGGACAGCCTGACGTACACAGCTCCGGTGCGGGCCGGTTTGCTCAGTGTTTTGGCCCTGGCTGCAGACACACTGGGGCCCCAGAAGCTGCTTTGAAGTCTCCATGGTGACCTAAACACACAAAGGCTGCATTGACATCATGTTACGCCAGAGAGAGGCTGGATTTGTTAGTAATTCCCAACATTAAGCGGGATGAAATTATCAAATGCACTGATTTATTTACTAACTATGCACATGAAAGACTGATCAAAACATTGAGAGAAAACTATAAGAGTGCAATGCAGCGTGAAAGCAGCAGGTGGCGCTAAATACTCAACATGATCAAGTGAGCTTGGTCTGTGTTAAGCCTTTTATTTGACTACTTAAAACTTTTGTTTGAGCTTACCGTCAGAGCTACTGCAATGATTTATCACTTGTAAAAACGTATAATGTCAACCAAAAGCGCGCTCTTGGAAAGCTGTTTATTCTGGAAACCCTGCTGTAGTTGTGCAGGAAAGCCCCGTTTCCCCTCAATATTATTATTAGTTCACACATTTGCAGTGCTGGGGATTTACAGTAAGACACTTGTCAGATTGAGACTGCAGTTATTGTCACTCCACGATAACAGCCAAATGATGAAATCCTCTGACAAGTTTGCAAAGGATTTTAAATTAAAGTATATATTTAATATTCATTATTCATAACAATAGAGTTAAATAGATTTTTATAAGAGTTCAAGTTCGTCATTCCAATCTTAAGCTCATAAAATTAAATTATTATATTAAATGTTCACTTAACTCCTGAAGTCCACTATCATCTCCACTGTTTTGAGCATGTTCAGCTCCTGGTTGTTGTGACTGCACCTGACAGCCAGCTCCTTAACCTTCTGACATGGCAGCAACTCAGTGCATTTAGGTACAGTGCATCCGGAAAGTATTCATGGCTCTTTACTCTTTCCGCATTTGTTTATGGTACAGCCTTATTCCAAAATGAATTCAATTCATTGATTTCCTCAACATTCTACACACAATCCCCCATAATGAGAATGTGAAAGAGTTGTTGCAAATTTTGACCCGTTCCTCTTTGCAGTACCTCTTAAGCTCTATCAGGTTGGATGGGGAGTGACGGTGTACAGCCTTTTTCAGATCTCTCCAGAGATGTTCTATAGGATTTAGGTCTGGGCTCTGGCTGGGCCACTTAATGACATTCACTGTGTTTTTGTGAAGCTGCTCGATTAATATTTTGGCGGTGTGCTTTGGGTCATTGTCCTGCTGGAAGATGAAGCGTTGCCCCAGTCTGAGGTCAAGAGCACTCTGAAGCAGGTTTTCATTCAGGATGTCTCTGTGCATTGCTGCATTCATCTTTCCCTCTATCCTGACTAGTCTATCAGTTCCTGCTGCTGAAAAACATCCCCACAGCATGATGCTGCCTCCACCATGCTTTACTGTAGGGGTGCTATTAGCCTGGTGATGAGCGCTGCCTGCATTTCTCCTAACGTAACGTCTGGCGTTCACTCTAAAGAGTTCAATTTGAGTCTCATCAGAGCAGAGAGTTTAGTTTCTGATGGTCTGAGAGTCCTTCACATGCTTTTTGGCAAACTCCAGGCGGGGTGTGTCTTCCGTCTGGCCACTCTTTCATACAGGCCTGATTGGTGGATTGCTGCACAGATGGTTGTCCTTCTGCAAGGTTCTCCTCTCTCCACAGAAGAACACTGGAGCTCAGACAGAGTGACCATCGGGTTGTTGATCACCTCCCTGACTAAGGCCCTTCACCCCCGATCATTCAGCTTAGATGGCCCGCCAGCTCTAGGAAGAGTCCAGGTGGTTCCAAACATCTTCCCCTTACGGATGATGGAGGCCGCTGTGCTCATTGGAACTTTCAGAGCAGCAGAAATGTTTCTGTACCCTTCCCCAGCCTCGTGCCCACAGGTCTACAGACAATTCCTTTGTCTTCATGCTTGGTTTGTGCTTTGACATGCAATGTCAACCCTGGGGTCATATACAGACAGGTGTATGCCATTTCAGATCATGTCCAATCAGCTGAATTGACCACAGGTGAACTTCACGGCGACTGAAGCTCTGCACAAGACTTTTGGCCAGCGGAGAAATTAAAATGGTCGTGCCCAACTGAGTCTGGTTCTCTCAAGGTTTTTTTTCTTCACTCCCATCAGGTGAAGTTTTTTTTCCCTCTCTGCTGTCGCCACTGGCTCGCATGGTTCAGGATTGGTAGAGCTACGCATCGATGAATTTGCTCTTCAGTGTTTGAACTCTCAGTAATGATTAAATCACACTGAACTGAGCTAAACTGAACTGAACTGAACTTAAACACTAAAAACTGAACTACACTGTTCCAGTTACTATGACCATTTATGTGAAGCTGCTTTGACACAATCTACATTGTAAAAGCGCTATACAAATAAAGCTGAATTGAATTGAATTGAATTCAATGAAGCTGCTGAAACATTTTAAGAATGATCAGTGGAAACTGAATGTAGCTGAGCTCAAGCTTCACAGCAAAGACTGTAAATACTGATGTACATGTGATTTTACAGCTTTTATATATATATATATATATATATATATATATATATATATATATATATATATATATATATATATATATATATATATATATATATATATATATATATATATATATATATATATATATATATATATATATATATATATATATATATATATATATATATATATATATATATATATATATATATATATATATATTTTTTTTTTTTTTAATTTTATTAAAATTTATTTTTTTTGCATGTTTGTCACACTGTAATGTTTCACATCCTCAAACAAATTGAAGTACTAGTCATGCGTCAAATAAATGCATCATGCAGTTTTTAAATTAAGGGTTTAATTTATAAAAAGCTTTTATTATAAAGTCAAAATTATAGGTGGGCATAGATATTTTTTTAATCTCGATTAATCTCACTGTAATCTTGAAATTAATCTAGATTAATCTAGATTAAAAGGGCTCATTTGAATTCTGCCAAAGGCATTCAGAATATGTGTGCTACCCAAATAATGACTAAATGTAAGTCTTTGAGAACGGGTTTCTCAAGCCAGGTGGCGCATTAGAGCAGGGGCTTATCTCCTGTTTCCAAAATGCATCACAAACTGCTTGAGGAACTGTTCTACTCTGATAATTGATGATGTAAATAAATGATGTTCACTAAGATGTACTTGAGTTTACTGTTTATTCAGTTAAACATGAATGTTGAACTGTCTGCCTACATAAGCTTTAAACAGCCATTTTCAATCCGACTAAAGTCATAACTGAACTAAACAGAAATGGAATTAAGACATGTGGAGTATGCAGATATTAGTGGCATTATTTAAGTGAACACTGCGATCAAACTATTATCGTCATGTTGGACTAGAGTTAATCAGATTCACTAGTGAACACATAAAAATCGTCATCATATTGTACTGGACTACACGCCTCAACTTTTGCGCGCCCCCCTTCAATCCAACTATATTTTATAAAAGGCAAGCGATAAAATGTGAAAAATATTTCCATCAATAAATTAAAGATATTTTTTCATAAAGATATCAATATGCTTAAAAAAAACAGTTTCACAGTTCTGAACACAACTGAAATAGTTTGAAGTATAGTAAAAGGTATAATTACATTAAGCATGTTGAGTCGCAAAGAAATGCATCTCATACCACCCCAAATTTCTTCTCATTTTAATTTTCACTTACTAAATGATTATAGCACCTTGACTAGCCTTGCTTTTGGACTTTTTGTACTACATTTGTCAAAACAAAATGATAGACATGGGAGTCTTAAAGGGCAAAAGAACATTGCAATTACTTCTCACATTCAGACTGAGGCAGAAGGTCTGTCTTTGCAAGAACAATTGACTGAAACTGCTAAAAGTGAAATAAAAAAGACTGTCAAATGTTTAGTGCAAAAAAACCCCCAGAAACAAACAGTGTGAAATGTTCGATTTAATTGAAATGTTATAACTTTGTTTGTAGCTAAAATTAAAATAGTTTTGAGCTAAGAAGTTACCAAAAGGCCTGATGAATCAATATGATACATAATAAATTAATAAAAACATGTATATGGTATAAAAAATGGGGGGAGGGGTGGAATGATTTTTTAATTTAATAAAATACAATATTATACGCGTACAAAATGCTAAATAATTTTTTTTAACAAAAAATATATACATTATTTGAAACTTTTAATATGGATAATTTCAAAAATAGTTTTGGCACAATGGCGCCCGCCCCTATGCACTGCATATACTGCATACCCCCTTTTTGCGCCACTGAGCTAAGGGATGCTTTGCGTTTAGGTGGTACTTGAGACTGGAAGAACTCCAACAGTAAACTAACTCCGCATTGCACAAGGTGCAAGCAACCTTTGTTTTGCTGAAGTTTGTAGCTGTGTAGCTTTGTTTTTCCTTAATAATAAAAATCTCCATTTCAAAACTGTGTTTATGTGTTATTTTTGGCTAATACTTATATTTGTTTGATGATGTGAAACATTAAATCGAGACAACCGTGCAAAAAAATAAGAAATGGTAAGGGGGCGAATACTTTTTCACGCCACACAAGTCAGAATTACTAGCCCCCCTTTGAGTTTTTTTCTCTTTTTAAATATTTCCAAAATTATATTTAGCAGAGCAAGACAATTTTCACAGTATGTCTGATAAAATTTTCTTTTCTGGAGAAAGTCTTTTTTGTTTTATTTTGGCTAGAATAAAAGCAGTTTTTATTTTTTTAAGCGCCATTTTAAGGGCAAAATTATTAGTCCCTTTAGGCTATTTTTTTCAATAGTCTACAGAACAAACCATCATTATACAATAACTTGCCTAATTACCCTAACCTGCCCTATTTAATTAACCTACTTAAGCCTTTAAATGTGACTTTAAGCTGTATAGAAGTGTCTTGAAGAATATCTAGTCAAATATTATTTACTGTCATCATGGCAAAGATAAAATAAATCAGTTATTAGAGATGAGTTATTAAAACTATTATGTTTAGAAATGTGTTGAAAAAAATCTCTCCGTTAAACAGAAAACAGGGAAAAAATAAACAGGGGGGCTAATAATTCTGACTTCAACTGTATACACTGTCGGAAATAAAGGTACAAGAGCTCTCACTGGGGCAATATGCTTTTAAAAGGTACATTTTAACACCTGAAGTGTCCATAATGGTAACTTA